AAATATGAAACAACAAGATTGAATCAAATGACAAGTTGAATAACAGAAGTGTAAAAACGATCTCTGAACCATGACAGTTTAAAGTCAAGTTCACAAGTGGATTTGTAATTTTCCATTTTCCCATGAACAGAGAGCGTCATTTGTGGTCCAAATGTGTTCGAACCTGTTGTAATGTTTTACAAGTTTGAAGTTCTGGTACTCAGATTTAATTCTGCTTGTGATGCGAGTTTTGAGAATTTCCAATGGATCCACAAAAGTACTTCCCTCCCGTTTATTCCGCCGGAAGATGTGGATGGCTACTTTTGCAGTGATAAAGATAAAAAGGAAAATACTCTCACACTGACGAGAGAGAAAACAACGTGAGTGAGTGGTGAGGTGGCAAAATAATAAAGCACCAAAGAGGAACCTTCAAACCATGTTGTGAAAAATCAGCAGAAATACGCGAAGCGAACCAACAGAGGGCGCAAATGTGAATGAGAGAATCCAGGGCACAACAATGTGGACAGTTTTCAGAATCGGCAAAATTTACCCGGCAAGAAAACCAGCAGTATAAGTATAGTATAGAGATTGGCCTACTCCTAGTTTTATCTCACTTGTTGAAATATGAGTTTCCCATTTAATCAGAAGCTGGTTTATTTCTGAGTGATTCAATGATGCAAAATAACTTCTGAAATTCTAAAATCTAGTTTGCAACAGTAAAATTGTGTTCTACTATTGTATACAATATTCTTCATGGCGTAAACCTAAATTCAACTCATTGTAGAATAAGCTGGTTGTAAATACATTTACATAAATTTATTAATCACTTACTTATTTATTGTTTTATTTTATGAGTTACACCAGAAAAGTAGCCTTATACTGATTGTATTTAGCAAAAATTGTAGGTATGTACATTAATCATTCTTTATTAAACAGTAGCCATACAGAGAAAATGTAGCTTATCTGACACTTCGTCCTCGACCCATTGACCCTTTCAGCAGTGCAATGCGTCGCATACGGTTGGATTGGGAGAACAGCACTCTGTTGACGCCAAATGCGCTGCTTGTTTTATTCACGGCTTTCGGTCAACACTAATGACTTTTTTTAATTACGTTATGGAGAGCACTATCAGTGAATGTTTGTTTCAATATTCTCGAAACAATTTCTAAATATTGATTGCTCATACATACCAATGGTTGGGAGTCTTTCTGTATTGCGTTCTATGTCGGTATATATTAACCTCCATGTATTGCATCCACTTTCATTGCCCAATCTGCACTACACGTGGAGAGATGGACACAATGTGTGTCCGGATTTAACCTCCAACCACTTAGAGGAAAAATATATAGATAAGCGATGTAGTATTTTTGGTTTTGATTATGAATTAAATGTGTCATGGAACTCGCTCACAGCCATCAAACACCGACACTAACAATATATTACGGTTGTATGAATATGAATATTTGGTGTCCCTGAAAAGGGCTTTTGCTTTATGTCATAGACAAATAAGTTAGACTTGGAGATATATGTTATAATATCCAACAATGTCAATTTGCGTAATCTCGCCCACACCACCATACACAGCGACTGAGATATTATCGTG